CTTTAGAAATCGCTGTAGCTCTGACCAAGTCGGAACTGCACTGATTTGACTGCTGTAATTGCGGACAATAGGGTGCGACTTGGCGTGGGATTTGTAAGTCGCATGGCATGCAAATTGCATGCCAGTTTGCACCCAATGTGACCTGGGTGTTATTGGCAAAGCTTAATTGAATATGCTGAAGTTAGAAGCCGATTGGCTACCATGCATAGCTGCATCAGATTCTTAGAGTTCCAGTTTTAGTAAATTAGATTCTAATTTTAGGTGAAGTGGGACAGGGTTCAATCCCAACTACAATTCTTTAGCCAACCTACCAAGGTCAACCATTCCCCAAAGAAGAGCTATAGATATTGTCCTCTAGGAATCCATGGAATAGGAATCTTTAGGAATAGAGAATTTTAATAGGTGAAAAGCCAAGCTCAGCTTATTCTGACCATGGGAGGGTTGGGGGCAGCTAGCTCACAGAGAGCCAAATAAACTGCGGCAGATCATGCCACCCAAGGCTACTATAATAAAAAGGACAACAATGATAGCATTTACCCAAGATCACCCAAAAAAGGGACCCAATAGCAGAATTTGTTATGGCTGATGTTCTACTATAGCATAAATATCTGTTCCATGCACACCTAGAAAAACCAATGACCCTTCTCTTTCCCATGGATACGTCCAAGATTATTTATTTATTTCAGGTACTTATATAGCGCCGTCAATTTACGCATTGCTTTACACATATATATTGTACATTCACATCAGTCCCTAACCCTCAAGGGGCATACAATCTAAGGTCCCTAACTCACATTCATACATACACATACTAGGGCCAATTTGGACAGGATCCAATTAACCTACCAGCATGTCTTTGGAGAGTAGGAGGAAACCGGAGTACCTGGAGGAAACCCACGCAGGCACAGGGAGAACATGCAAACTCCAGGCAGGTGGTGCCATGGCTGGGATTCGAACCAACGAGCCTAGTACTGCCAGGCTAAAACTTTTTTTTTTTTTTTTTTTTTTTTTACAGAGAAACAAATGTAATGTTCTAACCCTACAGCAAGCATAAATCCTAGACATGACTAAAACATTTTAAGACCAAATTGAGCTATGTCCCAATAATTCTAAATCACCAGAGAATATTCTCAGAATACGTCATAGACACTTAATATACTATGTGTGTGCTACTGATTTACAAACATCTAATTGGATTTAAAAATATGGGCCCAGTAAGTTGATATAACAGAACCATATAATGTTATGAAGATATAAACACATAATGGGCTTGTCTAAGGTTGCCCTTAAAAAGCATTCTCCGATAATGCCAGCGATCATGTAAAAAAAAATGCTGTCGTGGTATTCTAAAGACTCAAGGCTGATTAAGGTTTTTACCATGACATAATTCTAAACACAAGAAACAAGGAAACACAAAGGAAAAAAAGTAGATCATTAATTATATTATATGATAATCTGGAAAAGTACCTCTGAGAACAAAAGCATATAAACTACATGAGATAGGCATTGGGTGACTTTGTTAGCTCATGATATGACTGAATGGCAAATAGCAGTCAGCAGTCTTAACCCTGTGGTTGCTGAGTGCTATTTGCCTTTCAGCCACATCATCAGCTGTGACATGATTTGCTAAGAAGTAATCTTGTTCTGTAAAACATTACTTGCCCTCCTAAGTACAAGGTGACCAGTGAGCACATACCTAGAAATCGTCATGCAAGATGATCCTTTTAAGCAAGGCTGGCAGAATCATTTTTGTCTTCCTAAAATCTGGACATGATTATCCCTTTGTCACAGCCCTCAGTTTGACTATTTAAAGATATTTCTGTTTGAAATGATTCATCAGAATTCAAAAGTGTAAACCATGCAAGTACAAAGGATTTGGCATCCCCGCCTTTTCTCAAGTTTAAAAGGACTTACTTTTTTTGTCATTAAGAGACACATAATTCAGTTATTGTGAGATACATAGGTTATACTGCCACATACAGGAGAAATTGAGCACTAGCAAACAAAAGTCATTGGCTAGCTAGGTATAATCCCTTCTACTTCCAGCATACTTCAGTTTTTTTGCCAGTGTCCTAAGAGGATGGATGTCATTTCTCTGTTGAAAAAAAGTTTATTTTCCAGCCATTTTATTGCTTTAGATAATTTTTTCCTTCAAAAAAGCTTTTATTGTTATTCTGTTGGATCTGGGGTATTCATGCAGCTATGTGCTTAGGAGTTTGAGTCTCTCAATGAACCAGAAATAGAACAGGATTTTTGTACTGCTACCATAAAAGTTTTCTACTGTGTAATTTGCTTCTTAGAAATAATTAAAGGACTCAACCTTCTGTGTTTGTAATCTACTCTTAATACTGCTTTTCTACAAAACAGAAGCATGCTGGGAGGGAGAGGGGTTGCACTTGGCTATCCAATGTCTGGTTTCCAATTTCCAATTTGAACAGCAATATATCCCAAATGTCTCAGAATAACTGAATCCTGTATCCCTTAGTGAACTCCAAGAAATAGATTTTAGGTAAGTACAAAAATCCTGCTTTTTACTTTTCAATAGGTACTACAAAATATATTTCAGTACAAGTATAAAAAGTTTGAAAAAAAGAAGTTTAAAAACACCCGTTTACATCGCTAAAGCAGGTATCGACCAAAACATGTAAGCTGATGTTTTTAATCATTTTGTACTTCATCTTCTGCAATAGGTTTAAAGTGTATGTATGGCCAAAACCTTTATTTCTTTATGTTTGGATATAGTATGGAAGTAGACATGAAGATGCAACATGAAATGAAAGGAAGCAAGAGGAAATTCCATCTAAGACAGTTGTAACATTTACCCTCATCTGTTGTTCTGTTGAAAACTCAAAAAATGTTGGATCTCCCCTCACTTTCTGGTGGATCTCCCAAATGGAGACACAAACAATAAAAACTAGGGAAGAGAAGCCATGTGGCCTAGGACTTGGGAAGGACATTATAGGAAACTTACAAAGTGAGCAGCACCACAGCACCCCCACCTGTCTAATTAAGAGTACTTTAATGCTATTATAGCCTGAATTTGAGCTATCTTTTATTATGCACCTTTCTACCACTGTTTAGGAATTAGGCCCAGACTGGCCATAGGGTGCACCGGGCATTTGCCTAGTGGGCCAGTACCACATGCATACCTCTCAACTGCTCTGTTTTCGTGATTCAGTGTCAGTATTGCAGCCAGCATCTCACTGCTGGCTGCTTGTCACCGTAACCCACTGACCGGACTAACTGGACTGAAGCTACCTCCTTCTCCTCCTCCCCAGCTCTGTTTTCCTGTACACAGACAGGAGGAAGAGCCAGGAAGGAGTAACACCATTCTGCTTCTGCTGCAATGATTGGAAGTCTGCAGTGGGTGTAACAGATACTTGCAGGGGAGGGGGGACACAGTGACCGGGAAGGGGGATGGATGGGGGGTAGGTAACAAGGTCTAAAAGGATACGTTTTGGAGGGGCACTTTGGCAGGGGAGAGAACATGTGCTGGATGGGGGGGGATTGAATTTGAATTCCCCCACCCCACCTTCTAGCTCAAGTCTGCTCCCTTCCCAAAGCCTCCCCTCCCCAGTACGTATCTGACCACCCAGCACAAGTCGGTTTCCCTCCTAAAATGCACCCCCAGTACGTATCTTACTCTCCCAGCACAAGTCCATTCCCCCCCGTACATATCTGACCCCCCAGCACAAGTTCGCTCTCCTCCCAAAGTGTCCTCCCAATATGTATCTGACCCCCCCAGCACAAGCCTGCTCCCCTGCCAAATTGCCCCCCAATACGCATTTAACCCCCCCACAAGTCCTCTCCCGTCTGAAAGCGCCCCCCCCCCCCCCCTAGTACGCATCTAACTCCCCCAGAAAAAGTCTGCTCCCCTCAGTACATATTTGATGCCCCCAGCACAATTCTGTGTCTCTCCCAAAGTGCCCCCCAGTACGTATCTGACCCCCCCAGCACAAGTCTACTCCCTTCCCAAAGTTCCCCCCCAAGCACATATTTGCCCCCCCCGCCCCACCTTCTAGCACTTAAGTTCTATCTCCTAGGAGATAGAACACAAGTTCTATCTCCTACTAAAGCACCCCTCAGTACAAATCTGACCCCTCCACCCTCCCTGCACAAGTCCAGTCCCCTCCCATTGCACCCTCCAGTATATATGCCCCCCAAGCACATATGTGCCCCTTCACCTTCTAGCACAAGTCCACTCCCCTCCCAAAGCATCCCCCCAGCACTCATCTGATCCCCTCTTCTGCTCCATCTTCTAGCAGAAGTCCTCTACCCTCCCAAAGTGAACCCCCCAGCACATATCCAAAGCCTGGGTTTTGTTTAACTATGTCCCTGATGCCCCCCCCAACTGTAAAGCTTGGGCACACCTACCTTTTGCTTCGGCATGTATGGTGCACCTCAGGCCTTTACCCCTGTCAAGTGTCCCTCATTCTCAAGTTTGCAAGTTGGGAAGTCTGTGCATGTCCGAACAAGAGCTGGCTAATGTGACAGAGAGCTCCAGAGGGTGAGAACCATAACATAAATTTTTAATTATATTCGCACATATCATGCACCTGGCTCTCACCTGCGGGTCTCTGTCTGCCGCAAGCCATGTTGCCCTCTAGGGAGTAACACCAACCAAGCAGGGCGCTGAGCCCTCCCTGACTGGTCCTCCCTTCGGCCTCAGTGGTAGCTGCCTGTAAAAACCTTTGTGCGTAGCCAGATTCGGTTTTCTACTTTCATATTGTGAATGGGCTGCTCAATCTAAAATTCCCAGGCCTATTTCATGTGTGTATTGAGTTAGCAGTGTGCCCAGAGTTTCTCTTTAGCAAAGAATGTAGAAAACCGCTGTCATGACTTTCATTTACAATTTTCATCTTCATTTCACACACACACACACATAGGTTAAACTGGATGGACTGTGCCTTTTTTTAACCTTAAAAAATATGTAACTATGGGCACTGAGGGGTGGTAAGATGGCTGCGGTTCTGACAAAGAATTTAGCTGAACTAACATACTCAAGGTCTGCTGGCAGTTTCTGTTGCAAATGTATTCAGTATAGATAGGTTTGCTAACAGTTTCACATAATATGACAATCTTAAAGTTCTCAGGTGTGTTTTATATTTATAACCAAGATAGATAACGTTATATATTTGAAAACACAAACCTCTTTCCACTGGGTCATAGAAATATCCATTGTCCCTTAGGCTGCTAAATACAGATGGAATAAGGTCAGCCAGGTACTGCTGTGCAAAAGCCCTTGCCGCCACCTTCTCTGCCGTCTCCTTTTCTTTCAAAAGCATTTCCCTTTGTTGATGCTTGCGCCCTTCCTAAACAGAAAATGAGTGTGTAATCTTAAACTACATATTTAAATTTTGTGTCCATTGCAGTGAACGCATTCCCAGATCGTCACTTTGAAATAACAGAACCCCTAAATATAAAGCTTGTATACCTTTTCTTCCCTGTGTCTTCTCTCCTGTTCTTCGAGACGCTGTGCCTCAGAAAGTTCGGCATTGCGCAGCTCCTCAAAGGCACGCTGTTGTGCTCTTAAGTTGGCAAGTTCCTCTTCTTCCATTACTTCCAGTAAAGCCTGCTCAATTGTTTTACCAATCAACACCTCCAGCACTGGTTTAACCTCCAGATCAAAGTCAAAAAGCTATAAAAGGAGATTAGCAAAGGTTACTGGTAACAATTTTGGTTATTTTTTTTGCCTATATAATTTTGTTGTGGAATAAACTTTGTTAGCCATAGAGAATCATCTTTATATAATACCAGTACTTGGTGGCATCTTGTAATATTGGAGGATGTTTATCTACTTCAAGACTTCCTAAGTGGGAAAATACACCATGGTTTTGAAGAGGTATACTGGGGTTATGGCTGCAGCTAGATGCCACAACCCCAATATTAAAATTTTCCTAAGCTGCTGCTCCTTCTCCTAAAACTGATCAGAGCAGCTGATTACCTTCTAGATCACTTTTAAGCAATAGGAGGGGTCCCTCCTCCCCCTCAGTAGCTTTCCGGGTTTTCTTGGGCTTACCTAGCTAATTGGAAAGCCCGGGAACCAATCTGGCGGTTGCAGCGGTTGGCCATAGAGTTTAGCAGAGGAAAGATTACCTCCGTTCATCTCTATGACCTAGGAGGTCGAGAGCAATGTCATGACATCACTTACGGTTTATGGCCAATTTAAACAAAGCCATTTTCTTGGAAAGCTTTAGATCAAGGTTTTTTTTAATTGATGCTTTGCATTGTAGAGGAGAGATGTGGGGTCTTATTGACTCCAGACCTCTCCATAAGGAGGACCTGTCATGCTTTTTTGTTATTACAAGGGATGTTTACATTTCTTGTGATAGCAATAAAAGTGATCAAAAACCCAAGAACCCGAGAAGGAGGATCGGCACACTGCTCTGTGCAAAACAATTGCACAGAGCAGGTAAGTATAACCTGTTTTATTTTTAAAAAATAAAAAATATGCCTTTAAAATCACTTTAGGCACCATCATCTGAGTTATATATTCATTTCAATGCAGGATATTCTGACAGCAAAATCACAGACAAAAAATATTAACAATTCCTGGCATTGCCCAAGAGACAGAACTTTTGCTAAATTCTCTGTTTTGCATTGTAGTAGAATTTTCTGTAATTAATGTAATCTCACATAGGCTTGAGTAAAATGTGAGAAAGGCAATAGGTTTGTTGGGGATATCTCATCACTGAAACGTCTGAGAAAAAAAAAAAAGCATGGGTGATCCAACCGAGCAGCATCCAGGAAAATTTGCACTTAAGATCAATTAAAATTGATAAATCTTTCATCATGTTACAAATTTCAGCGCTATGAAATGAGACAAGTTTTCTAAACAGATAATTACTTCTCCTTCCAAGATCTGAGTGGCAATATCAACTCCTGTCTTTGCCGGAATAAACAGAGGTGTAGGTGGTCTGTCCAAAAAGGCATCTGTCTGGCATTCCATATCTTTCTCTTCAACACGGTCACTCAGCTCTTCCAGGTAAAGCTCTATTTAGGATTGTAACAAAGATTATATGACAAGATTGAAGGTAAACAGCAAAAATAGATAACCTTAAAAGGGAATCTGTACTTAAACTATGGTGGCCACCATTGATGACATTTTCACTTCATTGTTGTTCCAGGTCAGTTAATAAAAAAAAAAGTATTGAGTTCAGAGGATCAGCATGCAACCAGACAACTAGCATTTTCTGAAGCAAGGCACTAACAACCCATGAATGTTTTTTAGAACTACACTCACTGACATTTTTTCATTTAATCCATCTTTTAAACCTTAAATTATTAACAATAATCTTACATGAAATTACATTTTAATGGACATATTTCTCTTACCTGTCTGCACATCAATGTGCTTCCTGCCCTCCACTGGCTCCGGAGTCCTGGGTCTCAATAGTTCTTTGGCACGTTTCTTTGCCAGTGCTCTCCTGTGTGCTTCCTGTGCTCTCTGGATTTCCACTGGATCTGGCTGAGCTGCCTAGAGGTAAATCAGCAATTTTTTGTTTTTTTATACTAAATCTTATTACATTCGCACTTGTTTGTCAAGTTGTATTCCAAAGAAAGTTAAGGTGACCATAGACAAGCAAAGGTGGTCAATAGTATAAGTATGATCTGACTGCTCCGAGGCATGTCTATCAGCTAACCCCTAAAGTTTGTTCTCCTGGCCTGCCAATCTGGGTGGAATAGTCACCATCACTTAATCTCATGCGTTTGATCAACATTACATACACCCAACGTTGCTACAAGGCAGGATGGATCCATGCTTTCATGTTGTTTACACCATATTCTGAACCTACCATCTGAATGTCGCAGCAACCAGTCTGCCCAGTCTCCTCTGACAACAAGGCATTTCATCCACACAGCTGCCTCTCACTGGATATTTCCTCTTTTTCAGACCATTCTCTAAACCCTAGAGATGGTTCTGCATGAAAATCCCAGTAGATTAGCAGTTTTTAAAATACTCAACCCATCTGGCACGAACAACCATGATAAGTTCAAAGTCATTTAAATCCCCTTTCTTCCCTATGCTGATGCTCAGTTTTAACCTCAGCAAGTCGTCTTCACCACGTGCACATGCTTTAATAAATTGAGTTGCTATCATGTGATTGGCTGATTAGCAATTTGTGTTACCAAGCAGTTGAATAGGTTTACCACATAAAGTGGTCGGTGAATGTAGATCATAACACCTGGTCGGTGAATGTATATCATATTCATAACACCTGTCTTGACAATACTGTAAGTAGGTTATCCACACACACAGCTGTATACCAGTCATGTGAGCATATGGCAATGTATATTAAAATATACATTGATCAGTATAAACAGGAGAATTAGAAACCCTTATAAAATGTTGGTGTTACATTAAGATCAAGCCAGGATTGCATAGACAGAAATGAGAACAGTAACATTTTCCCAGGTTTGAGATTGCTAAAACTGGAACTGCCATGAGACTAGTCAACATTAGTGTTTGATATGTATTCAATATGTATTTCATCCAAAGTGTCCAATATAATTTATGGGACCTGGGGATTACTATGGCAAGGAAATTTTTTTCAAATATTTTTATTTATTCATCTCTTTCAATTGTTTTTGTTTTAATTTTTTTTCGGTTACCAATGTTGTCAGAGGCCCTCGTTTGTAAACATGACATAAAGCATTGTGTTTCAGCATGAAGCTAAGAGCTGATTCACAGATGTGCGGTGAGGATTGAAGCTCAGGTTTCACAGCTAATTGAAACAGTAGATGTTCACAGGTTCATGTCAGGTTTACATCAGGTTCAGAACAGGATTAGCTCAGGATCTTTTCCTGTTCACACATATGCGTTTTTGAAATGGTTCCCATATAAGTCAATAGCCTGTAATCCGCACCTGACTTGGACCGCACTGCTCAGAAATCGGACACGACTCTTTAAAACCGCACTGAATCTGCATCACCAGTGCACCAGACATATGTGAACAGGCACCATAGGAAGCAATGCTTTTCACATGTAATGCTGATTGGATGTGGTTCAAACCGTATCCAATCTGCATATATGTGAACAGCACTAAGGAACACTCTCATAGGGTACTCTGTAGTAGGATAAGCAGTGGAGTTGATGAATTCAGTTCCTTAGCTTAGTACTAGATGCAGCTAGGATTCAAAGCTATGAGCTGCTAAGACTAGGAAAGTGTTTGACACCATCACTGGGAAAAAAATAAACATATTCGCAGAGCCATTTTAAAACTGCAAACTAAATCCTAAATGTAGTTTATAGTTCTAGTTTAAATTGTTCACAGGAAAATAAAAAAGTAGATGTACTGTATTTCAAAGCTCATGGTTAGTAGAACAAGCTTTGATGAATAACCAGCACAAAATGAGCAGGTGAAAACAGCGTATTGCTATAAATTTATCTGTCTGGAATACACATAGCTGACATAGTGATGAGTGTCCTGTCTTACACTTTATTGGTTCATTTATGGCACATTCTTTGGTGGTGGTTTTGGAATGTGCAGGGAGAAAATGGCCAGGTCAGCAAACATTAGGTGAACTTTTACACAACTCCTGGTTCTAATGCCTGGAACTCATGGGGAATTTTGTTCCGTTCAACCCAGCGTGCTGAACGGAAAAAAGCTGAGAGGTCCCCATACTAACTAAGCAATGTTAGTGCAGCAATCTCCCCTGCTAATCTACTGTATGCTGACAGGGGAAGCGATGATCGGATGCTGGTTTTTCAGTATGCCTGTCTGAGAAGTCGATTTTATCTCGATTTCTGTTGGACAGGCTATTGTACACACAGGCCGAATGTCAGTCGACATCCGTTGAACCAGCTGATACCGTTCGATATTTGTCCTGTGTGTACTAGTCTTAAGGCTGAACAGTAAGTACAAGCTACAAGGAATATGCTTTCAAAAACTGGAACTGAATCACAGGAATATACAACCAGCAAAGGACAAATCAGGTTATTAGCGCTGAAAATGTCCATGAGAATGTCATACCACATATAAATCAGAAGAAATTAAAA